TCCTGCCGCGGAGAAAAGTTCCAGCCCTCGATCCCTCTCCTGCTCCGCAACTTCCTCGGGTACTCCCAGCTTAATTCAGAGTTTAGTTTTCCAGGCTCGTTTTAAACGCTGTGCACTTTTCTTTAATATCAGCGCTTCAGAAGTTTTGGATTCTTTGTAGCCACTTCCCCACTCCCTGCGATTTTTATGACCGCTGATATTGTGACTTTGTTCTCTTTGTGAGCAGCAGTAAACCCCTGAAACCAGTTTCACTTTCAGGCTGTTGCTGAAAATGTTTGAAATGTTTAAAATTTAGCAATTTCTCAATTTCTGCCCCAGTGTGGCTTTAAAATTTAAAAGTCCTGCCACAAAGCGTATGCTGATTGTGGTAAAAACTCCTGTGCGTGCAAAAGTAATTTATTTTAAAACACCTATGAAAATGTGGGTGGCAACCGTTGTGATTTTTCACATCTAACCCCAGTTAAAACTAAAAGCTGCAGGGCAAGCTCCTGTATTTTAAATTAAAATTATTTTACAAGTCTGAGAAAATGCATTTACTTATTTATTATATTTAACAGTTTGATTTTGACTTGTAAGGAATGGAATAAGAAGGCTATGAGAGAGTCTAATCCGGAACATTAAGTAGGAACTAAAACAATATATTCCTTTTATTGCCTTTAGAAAGGCAATAGAACTTGATAGATTAATTGCCTTTACTCATTGCTTCTGTTTAGGGATAGTTTTGAGGAAGTGTGCAATGCAGGCTGTAGGGAACCATGCAGAGGTATATTCTCTCCTATGTGGAAGTTACTGTTTATGCCACAGGAGTAGTTCAGGAGTTGTTCTTGAGAAGACCTGTGGGCTTGTGCAACGTGCTGAAGGATTTTAGGCTGGAAGTCAGAATTCCCTTCATTGTTCCCCAAAGAGCCAGGTGCCTCTGGTAGCAATGAAAACATGCACAGAAGCTCCCTCTCACTGGATTTTATTTCTCTTACCTTCTAAAATTTGATTTAATTTTGCAAGGCTTTTGGTACCTTCTGCAAAACCACTCCTGCATTCCTGCATTTCCCAGGTAAGTGGGTACACTCTGGGCATGGGGGATCGTTTGCTCAGTCTGGCTCTGAGCACATGAAATGAGTTCAGATGTTGAAGGCTTTGGGTTTTGGGTTGGTGGTGTTTTTTTGGGAGGGTTTACATTTAAATTTGTTGTTTTGTTTGTTGTTGTTTTTTAATGGTAACACAGTGTTTAAAGTGAAGTATTTGCCTCTTCCAGATATTCCTGTAGGGGCTTTGTAGAAACATAATGGAGTTTGTAACAGATTTTCAGTTTTCTCAAAACTCAGATATTTCACATATTAATCATCACACCCCCCTCCAAAATTCCCTGCTAATTTGATATATTTTTTTATGAAAGAGTCTCCCCTCTTGTGTGAAACCCCCTGGGGAAGAGGCTATGGACAAAACCATTGGCAAACAGCAGAAACTGGCTTCAGACAAAATGCTGTCATACATAGCAAATGAAGAGACAGGAAAAAACATTTCTGTAATTTTCCAGCAGAGATTTTACTTATAATAAGAGTGGAAGGCACATTTCCAGATAGAGGTGAGTTGCTTATATAAAAAAAGTAAGTTTGGTTGGTTCTGATTTCCAGGAATCCCAAGATGTTTAGCTTTGGGGGTTTTTGTTTGTTTGTTTTAAATGAAAGCTGAAAGTGTGTTTTCTTTAAATTGGTACCATGCTTGAATTTTCTATTTTTTGTCATGTTCTGAGGCACAATTAGGCTTCAGTTCCACAGGGACAAGCTGGGATTCTACTGTTAATTATTTTGGCCAGCTTACATTCAGAAGAGTTGTAATAAATTAGTTCCATCGTCTTGTTTCTTTAGTGCCAACATCCAAAACTGAGCTTGTAGCATAAAACATCAATAGACTTTTGAAAACAAAAGCCATGCATCAATTTTAAGACTAGCTTGGAAATACACTTGGATCTGTTAAGGATATGTGATTAAAGTGAATCTGTCTTATCACAGCCCCTTGGCTTGAAGGTTGTGGTGACCTCAGTGTTGACCTTGGCCTCAGATACCATCTGTCCATACTTCTGTCATGTTTGGGGGGGCTGGAGCTGAATGTAGGAAGTGATCCCTCTGTTGAGGTGCTGGTGGGCCTTCTTTAAGCTACAGCTCTTGTACTCAAAGCTCCAAATTGCTGCCATTCTGAATTGGTGCCCCAGCTTGATTCAGTAGTAGCAACAACCATTTGGAGTGGTTTGAAACCTTTCTGTGACTGTTGGGGATCATCCTCCCGTGGCCAGGTACACTTACCTGGGGGCAAGAGGTTTGGTTACATAATAACTGGATATTCTTGTTGCAAGTTTTCACCCTCAAAATGCTTTCTCATAAATGTTGCCAATAGTTGAGCAAATAGTCTTCATCAAGTCACTAAAGCCATTTCCTGAGTAAGTGTTTGATGTCTAATTAACGTTAAATAGTTTTATTTTGTGTTTTGGCCATGCATTGTTTACCCTTTGTGACAAGTTTTTTATGCTGTAAGAGTAGTTCTTGTACTCAAAGAACATATGCTATAATGTGCTGATCAAATTTAATGTGTGTGTATATATATATTTAAAGAGTATGTGTTAAGAGAGTGAGAAACTACTTATTTTCATTTCTGTTTAGAGTTGCCTTCCTGCTTTCAGGGAAACCGGTTTCCTTAACTATATTCTTTTATCATACCATTTGCCTTATGTAATGGTTAATTAAGAGTATTTCTTAAAAATACTCTGTTGCCAAGTATTCACAGGGAGGAGAGGAAGAACAGGAAAATGGGAAGTTGGGCAGAATAAGAAAGCAGTTCTTAAAAGCTCCTTTCTCCACCCCTCCCTTCAATAAAGAAAAGAATGCAAGAAACCCCCCGAGCAAATAGTCCTGCTCAGCCCAGGTTTGATGTTGCTCTGACTGAAACCCTTCCCTGTGGAGGAACCAGTAATCTTATTAGGAAAATCAGCCTTAGCTGGGGCGCTTCAAAGTTTGGCTTGTTCCTTTCTTTGTGCGTTGCTTCTGCTTAATGTACAGCTCGACTCTATTAGTGGTGGAGTCTCTCCAGCTACTCCTCTTTTGGCATTAACCCACCACAAGGTTCTGTTTTATAGCAAGCCAGGCTCCTGCTCCAAGCAGTTCCTGTGGATAGGCAGGAATATGTTCCCACATTTGTTCGAAGGCGAACAGCACTGATTCGATTCTGTTTTGAGGAAAAGAAACCTCCTCAGCCTGAGTTTTAGTCCTAAGTCCAGTTGTGAAGAGTAAGAAACTGGTTTGTTGTTGATTTTGGGTGGTTTTTGTTTGCTTACCTGTGTTTTGCAGCTGCCACGGTGAGGTGCTGCTTCAGACACACAAGAACTCAGAATTCCTTGTCTTTCGTGTGCCTAGAAATGACTTCCAGCATTGCTTGTCCCTTCACCTTCCCAGGGACTGCGATGAGGCCCCTTGGTCTGTCATTTCCTGCGTCCTCCTTTTGCCCTTTTTGAAGATAGGAGGGATAGCAAAGCAGCAGAGAATGTGTACATGAGATAGATGGTTCCAAGTTCCTGGTGTCTGATGAAGTTCACCACAGTGTGTTTAGAGACCACCAGCGCTTCAGGAGCTGTCGGTGGTAGAGATTGAGACCCTACAAAATCAGGAATGGGCAAATTTTATACTTAATGTTCAAAAGAGAAAGATGGAACCAGTCAACAAGAACTCAGGAGGAATTGCAGGCTGCTGCTGTACCAAAGCAGCTGCTTTATCTTGGTTATAATTCTGTTTGAGGTATAAATTGTCCTTTCTTTTAAGGATGTGGTTTTGACCTTCGAATTCAGTTGATACCCCAAGTCTTTTCAGTTTCAGGTGTCAGAGTTCCTCTCCTTTTACAGGGTCCATCCAAGTTCTGCAGGAAGGGTTATAGAAGCTTCCACATGTTTTTCATTTATTTCTACAAATGTTGTGTTTTAACATGGGTTAGAAAGAACCTTGGTGGTGTTTATTATCAAAATAGAAATGTTTTGATCTTCTCCAGGAAAATTCCAGCATAGGTATTTGCATATCATATTCCCTAACTTCCACCTACTTTTGTGCACAAAGTAATTGTTTTTTTTCCTGCAAACTCTACCTCTCCTAAGTCTCATGAAACATATTTTGAGTGTTTTCTCCAGAATTGCAATCCGGACAATAACTATAAATTAACATTAAGGATGTCCTACATAAATTATCTGGCACACATGGTCATTTTCTGGCAAAAACTTAGATAGAAATGTTTTATAATAAAGTACAGTATTATTTTTAAACAGTAAGCAAAGCTGCTTTTTTGGATTGCAAATCTGAGTTACAAAAATTTTGAATTGGAACAATTTGGCCAAATATTAAGACAATGGAAAGGTGATGTGAGACTTGTTTTGGCAGTGTAGTTAAGCTGAATCTTGATGATTGCTACTTAGGAACTTGTATAATGCTGAAGAATGATTTTCTCAGTACAGGGCCCAACTTTCCATTTAGACAGAGAAAATGTTTTCCTTCTCATCTGTGGATTTTTTTGGCAAAGAGGGCTTAGCAGTAACATCGAGGTTCTAAATGGATGTGATGCAAAAGGAGAACAAAAAGAGCCAAGTGCAGTTGTGGTGTCTGTGATTGTCATCTTGGCCCTGCCTTCAGCCTGTTTCTGGTCCTTCACCTCACCCCCAGCTTCCCAGCCCTTCTTCCCCCTTCCCTTGCAGTGGGAGCAGAGCAGAGCTGGCTGTAGAGAGTCTCTGCTGAGCACTGGGAGTTGGAGGGACTGGGAATGGGCTGCACTTTAATTCCCTCTGAGCTGAGAGAGCATTTCAGAGCTCTGCTAGCAAAGCCACTGCCCTGTGGGTGCAGCGTTCTCCAGTCTGGCATGGGAAGGGGATGTCCCTGAGACTGCCTTGTACTGCAGCTTCCAATAAAGGGCTGAAGCCATAGAATTACCTTGCTGTGGGATGAGGCCCTAATCTCCTGGTGAAATCAGATCAGCTGACTTGGGGAGGATGAGGGAATGAAGGAGGAGATCCTTCACTGTGCTCTGAAACACCACTAGCATCGATCCATAAAACCTCCCAGGCATCCTGGTGTTCTGGTGGTGCTGTTGTGAATGGTTCATATGGAATTACATTTTGTTAGCAGAGGCTGTGGTCAGGGGAACTTAAATATTGAGAGAGATTCAGGAGTTCATGAAAGCTTGAGGAAGAGGACCAGTTTTCATCTTCTGATCTGAAAATTCCTGGCAGCATTCACAGGATCCTGTATCCATGGCAACGTTGTGCTCAACTCCTGCCTTGAGCTGCACACACGTGCACTCACAAACAAGTCACTGGTGGTGTTTGTTGGTGGCTGGTGGCACAGGGGAGATGGCACAGGTGGCACTGCTGCCAGTGCAGGTCAGGGCTGGGCTTTGCCTGCCATGGCTCAGTGTTTCCTCTAATAATGCCCGGGGGTACCATGGCCAGTGCTTCCAGGGAGTTGTCAGGTTATGCCCTACCCAAGGTTTTGATTGGTTTTAATATCAAATTGAGGAATATGTGCATAACTAACATCACACTGACTTTTTTTGTTGTTTTGTTTCAGAGCTATTTAAGTGTGTTAAATGTCTTTGCCTTATTGCATAACTGGGTTTTGGGGGGAAATTTTTTTTTCATAATGGAATGCTAACATTGGGTCAGTGTGGAAATCAGTTCTCCCTTTTAACTATTAGGAAATTCTTCCATAATAGGATTTATTCAGATTGCAAAGGAGAATAGAGAGTATTATAATAAAGGGATAGCATGGCAGAAAAAGGCTCGGATGAGATCCAACAATAAAGATGTTCAGCATATACTCTCTAGGAAAGGGATTTGGGGAATTACTGTGATGAAATCTTAAAGCTATGAACCCAAATGCAATTTAAGAAAGAAAAGCCCAATCACATATTATTTTTCTGTCTACATTGACTTTTAAATAAAATTAACTCTTAGAAGAGAAAGAGGCAATGGCTTTCTTAGTTTTTCTTGTTTTCTTGGCTGTACTTCATTCTCCTAACTTATGCTTCTATTGTAGAATTTTTCTTTGTTTTCTCTTTATCTGTTACTACCTTTCAAACTTAGTAGGTGCTATTAAGGATTATGGAAATACTTTGAAATTTTAAAAATATTTTTCTCACCTTTATAAGGGGAGCTCATGTAGCAGTAGCCTTGTTTAAGCAGAGCTGTGTAAGATATTAATGAAGTGAAAATCGTCACTGTCAAAATGCATGTGTTGGATGTGCCTCAGAAAAAATATACCAATTAATCTATTTCTTCTTTAGTGTCTTTGGAAATTGCTTAACTGTCACGCATTCATCAAGAACTTATGTTTTTATCTGACTTTAGGTTTTTTGGTTATAGAAAAAAACTATTATGTAACAAGTTTTTTGTATATGACAGTGGCAAATTAGTCACCTTTCTATCTTTCAGCATTTGTACAGACCCCATTGCCATAGTAACTGAGCTCTTCATAATCGTTAATGTAATAATCCCCAGAACATCCCTGTGAGGTGCAGAGGTGTTCCTGCTCCACACGGGAGACACAGTGATTTATGGATAACCCCCCAAACCAATGAGAGCAGAGAGCCCCTCATTCCTGTTCCTGTGGTATAAGTGCCCTCTTGGTTGAACTGCCTTTTCTCTGCCCAGCCTTCTCAAATGAACGAGTTTTAGTGGGATTGGCTGTAGCCATCTGGAATGTGCTCATTTGCATATAAGATCCGTGTGGCTGTCAGTATTCAGCACATCAGGTTTAATGAACTCTGAAGATACTAAGGAAGAGAAATGTATGGATGGCTACTGTGTATTCTGAGTGGATTGGGAGATAGATTTTTCTTCCCATATATCACAATACCAGAAATTGGCCAGTTTAGATTATAACAGTGCTCATTTAATTGGCAGTGCACGGCTCACGTCTGTGCTGATAGAGCAGTTCCTTGAACATCTAAAGACTGACCTTTGAAACACTTTAAGCTTGACTTTGAAACGTTTGCATTCAGAATGTCCTGCTATTCTGTGGTGGTTTTGTTGTTTGGTTGTTTTTAATTTCTAGACAGAACATACTTCACGAGTGGAGAGGAAACGCCGAGACTCGTTCGGGATGTTTGACGGTTATGATAGTTGTAGTGAGGACACCAGCAGCAGCTCCAGTTCAGATGAGAGTGAGGAGGAGGTTGCTCCTTTGCCATCCAGTCTCCCAATTATCAAGAACAATGGGCAAGTTTATACTTATCCAGATGGCAAATCTGGCATGGGTAAGTAAGTGGTGCGTGAGTACAGAGTTACATAGTGATGTTTTTTTAGACTCTGCTGTGAGTTGTGAGGGTCCGGTCCCAAATATTGGTCCCCACTGAAAAGAGTCTAAAACAGCTGAAAGGGCTGGGGTTTGTTAGTTTTGGGAGGGGAGGGATCGTTTGGGGTTTGCTAGTTTGAAATAAGATATGTTTTGAATCCCGTTGACTGGAAAAAATAGTATGGGAACATCTGACCTCCCATCAAATGTGTGTTGTGTATGTCTGCACACACATGTGTATGTTCTTGTGTATAGTGTTTTTATTCTTTAAGCTTTGAGGAAAGTCAGTGTGTTCTCTCTATGCCAGGGCATGCCTTCTCTCTGCCCTTTATGTTGTATACACAATATATTAAATATATTTCTTCCTATAGCAGGAAAACTTCATTACTGCTACTGTATAAAGCCTGTCAGTGTATACCTGTACCCTCCCCACTAGCTGTGAGCTAGAGTATATTGGGAAAATAAGTTTAAAAGGAGAGGTTTCTTTTATTACTGGGGGAAAATATTTTATCCAAAATCATCACTGATTAGTAGAGCTCTCTAGATTAGTAGAATTTTGGTGTTGTCTCACTGGCGTGAGTTGGTTTCAGTCTTAGTCATCATGGAACAACTTGGTGGGCCACAGCTGTCCACCTCTGAAGCATGTGATTCCAGACAGAAGGGAACATTGGTGGGCTAGGGTACTTTGAATATACTAATTTGTGAATCAGAAAAGAGATCTGGTTTTATTTCATGTTGGACATATTAAATATTTAGAGGAAATGAGGCTTGACAGGCCCAGATTCAAAACAGATGTTTCCTTGAGAACCACGAAAACACAGAAAGCTGCATTAGCTGATTTAGCTGAGCCAGTCACTTCTACCAGGGGT